CCCCCCCCCACCTTGGGTGGGTGTGGCCAATGGGTTGCTCTAGGCGGCTGGGAAGGCCTACCCATTATCTGAGTCCTTGGGACCTGTGTCAGGATTGAGTCCAAGGGCCGGGCCCGGGGCCTCGGTGTCTGGGAACTTTGGAAGTTGTATCTTAGCATGCCCTGGCGGCTGGACGTCTGCGCAACTGCAGCGTTTCAGCTAGCTCTTGTTCTGGGGGCTGGAGCCGGCTGCAGACTGGTTGCAGACCCCAGGGACTTTGCGGGGGCGCTGACATCTGCAATGCGCCCCCCGCCCCTTGGTTAAACCCGCGCCAGGAGGGATCGATGGGCAAAGGGAATGGGAGAATGGGCCTCCAAGGTGCCCAGGTGAGCTCAGGCTCCGGGGAAGGTGGGGGAAATCATGGGACTCGTGATGATCACCAGGGGCAAGTGCACCTGCTGGCCCCACTTCCCAGCTGGGGACCTTGGTAACAAGCAGGAGCTCATTCCTGACTGGCTTCGCATGTGCGTGAGATGGTTCTGTTTATTGACCACCTACAAGGTGCTAGGCACTGAGCTAAGCGCCACATGTGCAGTCCCTCTGCCGATCTGCAGGGACTCCGAGCTGGGAACGCTTATCCCCATTTTACAGATGGGGCAGGCAAGGCTCTGCCAGAGGGTGCTGCTCTCCCAAGCTCCCGCCGCTAGCGACTTGCAAATTGGACCCCAGAACTGGTGCTCTCGGGACATCCGTTCGCTGGATTGTGCCTGGGGGGACAGGGCAGTGCGGCGGCCAGGTGGCCGGGCCCCCTTCCTCTAGAAGGAAAGACTCAGAATCAAGGTCAGGGGGTCACAACAGGCTCTTCCCAGAAATACCGGAAGAACCAGCCCCGAAGGCAGGCTCTACCTTTAGCGCCATTTCGCAGGTGAGGGGGCTGAGGCCAGGGGAGAGGAGGCTCCTTGCTCAACCAAGTATAGCATGGGCACAGCTGGGACTCTTGCCATCTGGGTCTGACACCCACCTGCCCTCGCCCGGCCAGAAAAACGGAGCGCACCTGTGGCTCCCGTCGTACCTTGCAAACGTGTGCAGGAGACTCACCTAGGGAGCCTCCCTGGCCACTCCAGAGCCTGACTTGGTCTGCAGTGGGGGCAGGCACCGTCTCTCGTGTGTGTGTGGGTGTGTGTGTTAATGTTTATTTTTGAGAGAGCTCGAGTGGGAGGGGGACAGAAGGGGGGACAGAGGATCCGAAGTGGGCTCTGTGCTGACAGATCCCATGAACCCCGAGATCGTGACCTGAGCCACAGTCAGATGGTCAGATGCTCAAAGCCACCGAGGGGCTCCATATTTTTTTTTCTTTTTAATGCTTAGCTTTTTTTTTTTTTTTTTTTTT